CGCATCCATACATGGTAATTGGGAATACAATGGCCTGAACGATTCTGATCTTTAGTGCTCAATTGTATGTCTTTGCTCTCCAGTATCTTTTCCAGTTCTTTCATAGCTGCCCTAGGTTTGTATAAAGAAATATGGTCTTTCAGATAGCCTGGATCTAAGCTGTATAGGGCTTTATGCCTCATAACCAGCACTTTAAATTCTGCCCAGAAACAGACCAGTAGCCAGTGAAGCTGTTTCAGCAAGGGGGTTATATGCTTCTAAATCTTCTCATGCTACAAACCTATCTGTTGCAACACATATATACATATTAAAATATCAATATACAGTTGTTGTTGTTAACTGCCCTTGAGTTGACCATGAATCATGGTGACTCTACGGATGAGACATTTGCAAGACCCTCTATTCTCCATTGCTCTGCTCAGGTCCTGCAGACTCAAGCCTGTGACCTCTGTGACTGAGGGCCTAAGCAGACTGCCAGAAATAGTGCACATTAAATTGAGGCACTGCCCTGGCTCAGTGCTAGGGAATCATGGGAACTGTAATTTATTGTGGCACCAGAGCTCTCTGACAGAAAAGGCTCAATGTCTCAGAAAAAAAATGCAATTCCCATGATTCCCTAGCACTGAGCCAGGGCAGTGCCTCAATTTAATGTGCACTATTTCTGGCAGTCTGCTTAGGCCCTGAGTCTAGCCATGTGGTTTATCTCTCTACTGCCTTCTATCTTCCCTAACACTATTGTCTTTTCTAGTGAGTCATGACTTCTCATGATGTGGCCAAAGTGTGACAGCCTCCATTTCATCATATTGGCTTCCAGGGAGAGTTCACACTCAATCTGTTCTAGGACACATTTGTTTGTCTCTTTGGCTATCCATTGGTCCACAAAATTTACAAAGATATAAACTTGTCCATGCCTTACATCAGAGATGGGCAGTGGTGGAAAATTAGACAAGAAAAATGACACCCTTAAAAGCTTCAAAAACTTTGATTACAGGTTCAGTATTCAAATAAGATAATTATTTAAGCTCCCAATTTGTTTCCAGTCAATTAAGCTCCCAATTTATTTCCTGCCATTGACCTATGAATCCCCCAAAGACTTAGAGTTAAGATATCAGAAACACCACATCCTCTCCTAGGAACCTCTCTTGAATATGAAATCTTCAATGAAGGCTTGTTAAAAACATAAGAAGAGACATGTTAGATCATATCAAAGGC